CAGAAGCCGGGGCACGTGCTCAGTTCACCGCAGAGTCGGTTCGTGTGCTACACACGCGCCACTCGGCTCGGATCTGTCTGGTCCGGTTCGGTTTGCAAAAAGAAAGGCTTGTTTGTCTTATTTTCCTACTGGGCCAACTTCGTCCTCAGGAGAGGTGTCAGATAAGCTTTCAGGCAGAAAATGCCCTTCCTTAGGCCTGGAATAGAAGGAGATATGGCCCTAGCTGCAAGCGAGCTAGAAAAGTGGAGTTCAGTCCCTGGTCCAGGGGCAAAATCGGGCCCTGGTGCACTGCAGATCCCACCCACTTGCCACCGTCCATGTCCCCTGCTCATTCCCTGGTCTGCTCCTGCCATGAGGACTGCAGAAGGCGTGTGGGGCTTTGCACACCTTGCAAACACCCAGACACTTCCCTTCCCATCTCTGAGCACAGTGTTCATGGAAGCCGGGGGCACGTGACGATGGTTCCCGTTTCGATGGGCTCTATCTGCATGTCTTTGACCGTACCCCGTGCACCATGCCGGTGATGCTCAGCAGGGAGGGAGTTGGGGGCTTGCACGCCAGGCCTGGTAAACCAAGCATCTTGGGTATCATGCCTGGCTCTGCTGCTGCCTCGTGGCATTAGCCGCACAAGCTCTTTGGGCCTCAGCCCTCCCCATCTGCAAACTGGGTGCACAACCTGTGCCCACCCACGCAACGTGCTTTGAGGCCTGCAGGCAAATTAGCTTCTCCTAAGTGCTGATTTTTTTATTTTTTCCATTGGTGCTGCAGACTGGAGCTGCAGGTCGTCCTCAGCTCTGAGAATCCCACCTGGCCGCGTTACCTGCCGACAGCAGCGTTCAAAGCTCAAGTGCCTAAAAGCATTGGTCCCCTTTTGAAAACCGCAGCCAAGGGGGCTCCCCTCAGACCCTGTGCTGGGGCGAGTGAGTCAGGAACCCGGAGCCTGGGTTTTATCCCCCAGTATTGCTGCTGCCTCCTGTCTGCATCATACCCTGTTAGTGGTGCATTACAAAGCAAACAAAGGTTTTTCCACCTCCCTCGCCCCCAGGTAGATGCATTCGGATCGAGGGAAGAATGAAGCCTGTCCCATAAGCACAGGGACAGATGAGAACACCTCTATGTGGGCGCCTGAAAAGCCAGAATATCTGAAGAGTTGGGGTAAGGAAACGCACGTCATTCAAGTGCCAACATTTGCCTTTGGAGCCGCGGCAGAGCTGGATTCCTTGCTCCAGGAGCCGGCTTTCTGCTAATGCATTAGCAGTCAGGAAAGCGAGGGAGTCGTATTGCAGCTATTGATCTGTGCTAGTCCCCTCTCCTCTCCACGCCAGTTCAGGTACAAGCATCTGCTTTTCCTCATGCTACTTTGGCACACCTGGGGGTAGGCGATGGCATTGTAGCAACACCGAAAGATTGGAAACAGCACTTTCCCCGTGGGGCAGAAGCTGCCTCTGAAGTGGCCTGGGCCAGATTCGCTTCTTGTGCCAACCGGCGCAGCATCCAGAAGTGAATGGAGCGCAGCCCTCTTCAGCCTGGAGTAAATCTGCGCCTCTGTACGTTCTCTCAGAGGGCAACTGAGCCCCCCGGTGTACTCCTGGGTCTCTGCAAGATTGAGATTTCCATTCACGTGCAATAGGCTAAGACGGCGCCCCTGCCTGCTAGAGCAGGGAGGCAGTGCAATAAACACACAGGGAGGCACGGACTCGCCAGCACTGGAGGTGTGCAAGAAGAGGTTGGTCAGGGATGATGTAGGCATAGCGATGCCTGTGTTGTGCTAGGGGGATTTCCCATGCTTATGGGCTTTGCTGGTTCTCCCTCTTTTCTGCTACACTTGTCGAGGTGTTTCTGAGGTCTTGGGTGTTGGCTGCAGCCCCGGCTGGGGGCTTTGGGCCGTGCCAATACTCCCACTGAGACCAAAGCCAGAGGTTCCCGGCTAGAGGGTCTTGCCCCTCTGCTCAGGGTCAGGCTGATGCCACAGTTGGAAGGATTTTTACCCCTATGTTCAGCCTGGAGAGAGGGTTGCCTTCCTCCGTAGATGTGGGGTGGCCCCTGTCCAGGACCCCTCGCATGTGTATTGACAGGAGGTCGGCTGCCGTGGTCCCCCTGCTTTCCCTGTGGCAGGTCCGGTGTTAGGTCTGTGTTGCATCAGGGTTGATGGTTGTCCGGGATGGTTTGCATAGGGCCGATCCTGCCTCAGGCTGGGGATGGGACTAGATGTGAGCTCCCTTTTACCCTTCTCCTCTATGACTGTGAGGCTAGGAAAACTTCGGATCACTCCTGGCATGGATGTGCATGTGTGCGACCTTGATTGGCCTCCGGCTGGCGCCTGCAATGAGTGACTTGTTGAGCGGCAGCCCATCCACATGTCCCAGAAGGACATTTCTGTATTCGGGGAGAGGATTCCCATGCCGGCTCACACAGAGCTGCGGATACTTTGTCGGAAAGACCTCAGACCTCGAGTGAATTTTCTGTACCCAAAGCACATGAATGCCCAGCAATTTGCTGGGAGTTTCAAAACCTACACAGCCGCCTAGGTAAGGACTGCAGCCGTATTTGCAGACGTGAGGTATCCTTGAAAGTGGTGGGGCCAACAATATCATTAGGGGACATGAGCTGGTGTAGCTCTATTGACTTGAATGGAGCTACACCGCTTTACCCGGCTCACCTAGGAAAGAGCATCTTTGATCTACAGGGACACAGGTGGTAGTCGTGTTGGTCTAAGGACATAGACAAACCAGGTTCTTTGGGTAAATCAGATACCTTTTATTAGACCAACTCAAATAGCTGGAAAAATCCTTCTTAGCAAGCTTTTGGGTATAAATACCCTCCTTGGTCTACACGCACTCATCGCCCATCCAGCAGGGGAATGACAAGGAGCTGGTTCCCCTTTGGCTCACATCAGCATTATTCCCATATAATGTTGTTGCCTTGTAGGGCACCACAGTTGACTGGTACGCGTATAAATACAGGGCAAATCAGGCCCTGTCTTGGATAAAACAATCTGTAGGGTGGGCAGTGCAATCTGAGAGTATGTTTGGAAGTTGGCAGCCATAAGACACCTCTCCATCAGCTGGAAAAGGAGGAGAGGGATCGCTTGAGGGAACCCAAGCAGAAATGTTTGCAGTTCAACAAAGGAAAGTGCCAACTAACAATCAGGAAGCATTTCTTAGCAGCAAAGTTATTTTTCCAGGATAGCATCCCCAGGGAAATAATGGACACTCCATTGCTCGAAGCACCGGATAGCCGGTTGTCGGGAAAAAACTCACAGCCATCAAGAGAAACGGATGCAGGGAGCTAATTTCCATCTCTAATTTCTCTGTCTTGTTTTCAGTTGATTTTGTGAGTGGAGGAGAGGCCCTGGGGCTGAGAACTGCTCACATGTTAAGCACAGTTGACGGATTGTTTGTTTTTCAGCTTGATGTAAAATCAGAGATTAGGTGCTTTCCTCTGCCGTGCTAAGGATTTATTCCTTTAATATGCCCATAGGTTGTGGGCTTTTGGACGAACACCTGCTGCGTACAAAATTGGGGTTGGTACGTGCGACTAGCAGTGCACCCTGCCCAGCAATGTCATAATTCACACTGCTGGAGGAGCAGGCCATAAATCAGGTTTCTGCTGGATTTGCAAAAAAACCCCCCAAAAAAACAACCCCAGAGAAATAAGGGGCTGCATCTCTGAATGTTTTACCAAGGCCTTGTTGGAGATGGTTGTTCTCTCTGGGCAGGCAGCAGTCTGCAGGAAGGGACTTTCATCCCAGCTGGTCCAGGAGGTTGACGCGTGTCCCCTTTGCCCTCAAGAACAAGATCAGATTTCACCCATTTCTCGATTATCAGGTCACAAAGGACCGTTGTGATTTTGTGCCCTGGCCTCCTATGTAACACGGGACGTATTGTGCCTGCTGGAGGATAGCTTTGAGCTCTCCCATTAGCCTGGAGGCTGCCTCTCTTCTGTCCCACATGGGTCTCCTGAGACCCCTCCTAGCTCTGGCCTTCTCATTGCATGCCAAGTGACAGGGGCAACATCTCTCACGTATGGAGGTCATTCACCCTGTCGTAGAACAAGAGTGTGCAATGAATCCTAGACCCGTAGGAAAGGAGGGTTGGGAGGGACCCCAGGAAGTCACATCTAATCCAACCCCTGCTCCAAGCAGGACCAGCCCCAACTACATCATCCCAGCCAAGGCTTGGTCGAGCCGGCTCTTCAAAACCAATGTTCTAGGTTTCCTTTTTTCCAAAAACGCACCCCCAATACATCCTGTTCTCTGTGTGTTGGGAGAGGGAGGCCAAAAGTTATGGCAGGCACTTGAAGCTTGCGTGGTACTGCCACTAAGATGTTAGCCCAACCCTTTGGCTAGAGGCCTGGAAACCATTCAGAAAGCATCTCTACACGTGCGCATTTGCTGCGCAGTGTCTGAAATTACTGCACAGTATGGGTGCACGACTACACATGCACACCCCTACTGCGCAGTAAATATGGCGCCTTATGCCAACTTGAGCGTAAATTTGGTACCTGCATCACAAAGGTATTGAATTTATACCTGATTAGCTACTGTGCAGTAATGCATGTGTGGACGCCTTACTGCGCAGTAACACTTTAGTCCCAAGTCAGTGCACACACAGCATTTAAGGCACTTTAATGCCTGCACATGTACATGCTGGCCTATTCCTGCTTACTGCGCATTAAATTTAAACTGGCGTAAATGCACATGGAGACACACTCAGAGTGAAGCAAAATCTCCAGACCTCAAGCTCAAGTTTGGGCAGATAGTTTAAATCCTTGGAAATCCATGCTCACTTCTTTTCTTCTCAGCCTCGCTACTTTTCTCTCCAGCAGGCCCCACTTAGCCCAAGAACTGCCCTATTTTTTTGGTGAAAAGCACATTTTTTGAAATGTTTAAACTCTAGCCTCCTTTTGCATCAAATCCCACTCACGACAAAAACCCGGCAGCCGGCCGACGGGAGCCGGCTCAGGACGTAAATACTTATTTACGATTTTGCTGGAATTCCATGAAAAGTGACGTTTCTGGGTCATCCCGTGGAGCTGCACGAAGCGATTAACATTTTTGCATTAGAGCTGATAAAAAAAAGCATCAGTCTTGCCCAGCTCGGCTCTCCGCCTCCTGCAGCTCTATGACCCCAGCCCGATCCCCGGGAAATTGTGAGCACTTGCCTTTTGCTTTCACTGGCCTTTCACACGGGACAACAAGGAGGGAGAAACCCCCCAGCTGTATCCTCCCACCTCCTGTCCCGACGCAGGGAGGGTCTGCCCTGCACCTTTAGTAACAAAGTGAAGATGGCGATTAGGCTGTGGGAGCGGGAGCTTAATCTGGAATAAGTAGCCTTGTACCCTGAGTGCCACGGGGAGATCTGTCTGCCTTTCCCTCTCCTCCTTCCTGGGGACAATTTAATTCTGCCTCACAAGGCTTTGGGTGAGGGTATAAAAGGCAGCTTCCTCTCCCCACTCACAACCTGCCTCTCTCTTGCAGGGGGAGCTACTGAGCCCGTGTCGATGCGACGGATCGGTGAAGTGCACGCACCAGCCATGCCTCATCAAGTGGATCAGCGAGCGGGGCTGCTGGAGCTGCGAGCTGTGTTACTACAAGTATCACGTCATTGCCATAAGCACAAAGAACCCCCTGCAGGTAAAGGTACTAGAGACATTTCAACGTCTATCTTTTTTCCCCCGCATTGCCATCACTGGGGTATGCGCCAAGTCTCCCGGCGTGCCCCCTCCTGCACTGCGCACAGTGACCGATGCACCCATTAAGGATGGGGTCTTGCGCGTGTCCCCTGACTTTCCATCCGAGGCACGTTCGGGGCTTTCTTGAGAGCTGTCTTGCCGACGCCTAAAAGTTGCTGCGCAGGGGTGGGATGTTTGTATGACATGAATGCTAATGCTAATGCTAATGACATGAATGCTAATGCTAATGACATGAATGCTAACGGTTTGTATTTGTTCAACCAAATGGAGGCTTTCCCTGGAAGACCCCCAGCGCTGCCCAGTTCTGCGAAGGATGGTGTCCTAGCTTGATGCTGGTGCAGGATCTGAGGTCTGAGACCCAGATTTCAAGCTGGGGAATTAGCAAAGCTCCCTTAGAGTCAGATGGACAAATGCCCATTCCCCAAGCTTCAAAGGCACATTTGAGGAAGCCTTTTGTGGCTCTGTTTAAACACTGGGCAGCTTATATCATAATCATAAAGAGCAATGAGGCGATAGCATCGCAACCACAGAGATTTCAGCCGGGCACTGGAGTCAGGGGGGAACAAGGGACCTTGGCAATGCAAGGTGTTCACGCTCTGTTTCAGGCTTCACAAACATGGGGGCTAAGCGCAGAGCTCCTGCTTAAAAAAGAGGAGGTATTGGACTGAATAGCTACAACATGTGCATTCATCCCCAAGTGCGCAGAGACCTATGTGTTGGAAAGACATCCACGGCTGCACCCACGCTCTCTCCAATCCCCCCCAGATTCATCCCGTCCGTGCTTGTGTGTTCCACGCACACCCAAGCCCACACATACGGGCCCGTGCGTGACCTGCACACGCATGCCGGTTGCATTACAGGCCGTGCACTAAGAGAACAAACTGCTGGGTTTACTCGGTAGCGCTCCTGCTCCATGGAAGATAGAGGCTTGGTCTTTAAACATCTGGAGGACACGGCTAGATCTGCTTAACCCCTCGACAGCTGACTGAGGAGGAGGCGTGGGGCAGGGTTTCCCATGGCCTCATCCAGTTGCATTATGGTGAGGGCAAGGTTATGCAGATACACAGTGTCCCTGGCTTGTCTTCCTCACACCAGGGAGATCAGAAGTTCTCTGTTTATCCAGGCAGAGACACTGTGGGCTTTCCCTCAGCCCATTAGCCTGCCTCTGTTCGAGGGGGCTGGACCACTTCATTGGGGTGGGAGAAATAAGTCATAGGATCATAGAAAATGAGGGCTGAAGGGACCTCAGGAGGTCACATTGAGTCCAACCCCCTGCTCCAAGCAGGACCAGCCCCAACTACATCATCCCAAACAAGGCTTTGTAAAGCTGGGTCTTAAACACCTCCAAGGATGGAGAGTCCACCACCTCTCTGGGTAACCTGTTCCAGTGCTTTACTGTGCTCCTCGTGAGAACTTTTTTCCTAATATCCAACCTCAACTTTCCTTGCTGCAGCTTGAGCCCATTGCTCCTTGTCCTGTCATCTGCCCCCACTGAGACCAGCCCAGCTCCATCCTCTTTGCAATCCCCTGCAGGGAGGTGAAGGCTGCTATTCAATCCCCCTCGGTCTTCTCTTATCCAGACTAAATCAGCCCGGTTCCCTCCTCCTCTCCCCACCAGTCCTGTCCCCCAGCCCCACAATCATTTTCATTGACCTCCACTGGACTCTCTCCAATGTGTCCACATCCCTTCTGTAGTGGGGGGCCACAGCTGGACACCAGACTGCAGATGTGGCCTCCCCAGTGCTGAATAGAGGGAAGAATCACTGCCCTTGATCTGCTGGCACCGCTCCTCCCAATGCAGCCCAGGATGCCGGTCGCCTTCTTGGCACCAAGGGCACACTGCTGGCTCCTGTCCACTTTCTTGCCCCCTGTCACTTTTGTGCAGCAACAAACACAACTGCTTTTCATAGAAAGGTGGGCTGGCAGGGCCCTCGGGGGGTCTAGCCCCCTGCTCAAGGCAAGATCCTCCCCATCTGAACAGGCCCAGTAGGCTGGATTGCAACCAGTGCCTTCAAACTGGTGTCGCCCCCATAGGTACTACCAAGAGCCAGAGCCCCTGCTGCTCAAACCATGTTATATTTAGAGCCCAGACAGTCCCAAGCAAGCTCAATGGCACAAAACTGCTCTCCTTTGCAGTTCAGCACGTACATCACACACGTGCATGTGCCCTGCGTGTGCCCCATGTTTCACCGACGCTCTTCACGTGTGATTTGAGGGCAGCGCTGCACTCACAGCACATGCATGAGAAGCTGTAGCAAGAGAGCAGGGCTCATATTTAATTTAAGAGGATCCTTTCCAACCCCTGTAGCGATGCTTCCATGTTCCTGCACGCGCCACGGTTAAATCGGCCCCCTGGCATTAGCCGCTGGGATCCCCCAGTGCTGCGAGCTGACGCCTGGGGGCGGCAAGCGTCTCAAGCCTGCCGCGGCCAGGGGTGGAGGGGTCAGCAGGAGGGGAGCACTGCAGATGTACGTGATAGCTTTAGCCCTTTCCCCCCCGCACTGGGTTGGGGGGGCTGTATCTGGGATGAGATCTGTGGGTGTTTCACCAGCAAAGTGGTGCCAGGAACCATAGGAAACCCCAAAGCAATTCATCTGGGACCCCAGACTGGATGACCTCAGGGGTCGTCTCATCCCGAACTCGGCACCGATGTGGGGGTTGCTGTTCCTAACCTGACCGAGCTGCTTCTTGGTGGGGGGGAAATAGCACTTCTTTTTCACTCCCAAATCAACATCCTGATTGTCACTGGTCCTGCTTTGAGCAGGGGGTTGGACTAGATGACCTCCTGGGGTCATTGCCAACCCTCATTTTCTATGTGGGGAAACTGAGACCAGGGGTGTTGACATGACTGGCCCATGGTCAGGCAGCAGGGCAGTGGCAAAAGCTAAAATAAAACCCAGGTTTCAATGCTGTTACCCAACACACCACCCACCACAGGTCCCCCATGCATTGCACTGTGCATCTAAGAGCTGAATCTGGTCCTTTGCTTTTAGCAAAAGCAGGGAGGGTCTGAACAAATCTCCCAGATCCAAAACCCTCCCCGCTTTGGATTTGGACACTGTGTAATGGGTGGCCCATTTTAAAGCTGTGCAAGGCTGCTAGGTTTGAGACCCTGGAGCCGCATGTGTGAGCTGGGGGTATCAGACCTCACCCCTGTCTCCGGGGCAAAAACCTCAGAGAGAAATGGGGACACTTTTCCCTGCTCCCAGCAAAAGAAGCTGGTGCCTTCACAGCCATGCGATCTAAGCTGCCCGGGGTCAAGTGCATTTTGCTTGGGCTTCCTCTGAAGAAAGAGAAGGAAAAAAACCCCATGCTGTAGAAGACGATAGAGGGAAGATTCCCGAAACTCTGGGAAAACCATGATACGATCGTGCAGCGTGTTAGCACATGGCAAGGGACCTGCTGTATTGTCCCAGGAAAAGCCCCAACTCTGTATCTCTCTCCAGATCCAAAGGCCGAACCTCTCTGCCTTGAGGCCCGGGGAAGCTGCTGAGACTGGAAGTTGTCAGAGCGGTGAAAATAAACCGAACGGACGGACGTCAGGGTGGGAGCGTGCTGAGGAGGGTTTTCTAGGAACCGCCTGGCCGCAAGAAGGCATGGTGATTTTCTCCGGTTCAACACGTGGCATGATCCTGCAAACCCCGAGACCCCTGCAGCCGCTCCGGTGTGACATGCATCGAGCCCCAAGGTAGCAGCCGTTGTTTCACCATCACGCCTAGTGGCTCCAGCCGAAGCCCCCACTGTGTGGAAGACAGAAACCCCAAGCCACGGGGAGCGAACCTCAGCGAGCCTGTTTGGTGTCTGCCGATCCATGGGATGCCCACGCTGTCGCTTGCTCCGAAAAGCGGGACGCCGAGTTTGCTCCAGAAGAGCCCCGCGGTTGGCCCGGGTTATCCGCAGCGCTTTCCATGCCACGGGCAGCCCGCGCGCGCCATGCCGTGTACAAGGTGCGGCACTAGCATCGCGCGGCGCCCACCTAGCATGCGACAGTGGTTAGAGACAGAGGAAATGGCCCTGGCTAATTCTCTTTGTCTGACAGACTCCCTCGCTTCCGACTTCCCTCCTCTGGGTTTTGTGAGCGACTGGTATTTTAACCTTGCTATTACGTGAAACAAGTGTTGAGGGGGCTTTCTTTTCATTTTGGCATCTATAGTTGTGCGTTCGAAACAAGAGTGGCAGGATGACTAAAAAAGGGTCGCCCCCGTAGGAAGGGGATGCTGGCAAGAGCTTCAACTCGCGTGTACCGGTGACCTGCAAACAGGGAGGTGTCGTGCCTGTGCGTGCACACATGCACACGCACACTTAGCAGCCCAGGAGGCCGGGTGGGAAGGCAGTTCGCTACGTCCTCGCGATAGGGACTTTACGAGACACGGGCCACGTCTGCACAAGACGCTACTGCGCAGCGTTGCAGGGCGTGAACCGTGATGCGACTGCGCGGTAGTAACGAGCTAGTGTGCGGTTGACGTCACCGCGATGCCGTGCGGAGGCATTACTGCGCAGTAACACCCGTCATTTAGTACTTGGGTATCCATTACTACTGCTGCGTGTGCGCACCACGTGGCTGCTAGTCACAGATAATAAGGGCTACGGGAAGGTCCCACGGGCGGCCACCGGTGTGTTGCGGTGCGCTGGCTCCCTGCTGGGGCGGGCTGGATTTGAACCCTGCAACCTGAACGGCCACTGAGAAGCAGGTCGTGGCCTGCCCAGCACACGTGCAGTCCTGGAAATGCAGCACCGCAGCCTGCTCGAAGCAGCACCTCGCACTCGGCACCGCCGTGCCTGCGCAGGTCGGCAGTGGAGGGCCGGACACGACAGCCCTTGCTTTCTCCCTCCCTTTAAAGACCTGCTGCCAAGACCAGCGTCGCGGTTTGCCGGCAGATGGTGAGCAGCCCGTCTGCCGCCTCCCCTTGAGAATGAAATGAGGCAGGAGGATTTGGCTGGTGCAGCGACGGCAAGACCGGCTTGGTGTCCGGCAGGCTGCCGTCCTGGTTCCCAAGTGAAGATATAGGGCAAGGGAGACCGAACGCCTCCTTCTGTCCGCACCAGAGCTGCAGGGCCGGCTTGTTTGATGCCGGCCTTGTACCCCGAGCCTTTGGCCATGCTGCATGGAGCCAGCCGGAGGAGGAGAGGGAAAGCGTGGCGCTGGCATCTGCCAGGACGGCGGCGCCGTGGCGTGCACAAGGAAGGCCGGTAGCAGCGCGTGGGGGTTGTCGATGGTTGTCCCCATGTTGGAGAAGGGAAGCCAAGGGCTGCCCCCAGCACACAGGTCTGTGGCCATCGTTTCCATGCTGGTTCAGTCTCTGGGAGCCTCCATCGCCTGCAGAGATCAGCTGTCCCTTGTCTCCGCTGCCTTTTGGGAAAGGTGGGAAGGTGTGGAAATTCAGTCTCAATCCCTCTCCGGTGCACTAAATTTCCTACAAGAAACGCCCCCGTGGCATGCCTTCACCCTCCTGTGCTAAATGCAGGCCGCCCCGTCCCCTCTGCAAGAGGCAGAACAAGCCTGAGCCCCAGCCCCAAAGCTGTGTGGGGTAAAGGGGGGGGGGCAGCTCACCATTTCAACACCGATCTTTACAGGGAAACAGCAAATCACTTCCCTGCAGTGGGAGCAGTGGAGGCAGTCTGTATTTCCTTAGTGGCCGTGCATATCCACACGGTAGCAAACCGATTCCCCATAGGGAGCAGGTTTAGCATCACTGCTCCTTTAGAAGTGGCTTCACCTGTCCCCTGGTGCAATGCACACATCACACGCCTGCTGCAAAAGGGAGCCTGGCCACCCCCGCTTGCCACGTCTGTAGTGTGCCCTGGGGGGGGATGCGTTGCCTCCACAATGATCCTGCCTCGTGCTGCAATCCTGGGTCGCAGCTTGGATGGGGGACGTCTGAGCACAGTCTTGGTGACACTGTCAGTGTGCTTGGTGGCACTTGCTCGTGCCTCACCGTGGTGGCATCGCCCCCTGGGAACCTGGCTTCTGGCTGAGGCGTCGGTCGGGGGCCGTTTCTGCTCTCTTTGCCCGTGTCCGGGGAGCAGGGGGTCGTTCCCGTTGGAGTTCGTTCTCTCTCTGAAGTCTCAGCCGGACACAGGATTTTTGCTTGTCTCCATTTCTAAGACGTGGCGCGCTGTGACTGTGCCGGGTTCTCCACCCCAGAGACAGCCGCACATTGGTGGTGGGCAAAGCGACCCGTTTGAATAGCAAAGCGCACTGGGATGGAAAACCACAAGGCAGGGTGGGGGGGGAAAAGCAATAGTCCACCAAGGAACTAATCTCCTTTCTTTTTCCTTCCTTCCTCCCCCTGCTTTCTTCGCCCCTCGACATTGCCTCCGCCTCCCCCCCCGCAGTGGCAGGCCATCTCTCTGACCGTCATCGAGAAGGTTCAGATAGCGGCGGCCATCCTGGGGTCCCTCTTCCTCATCGCCAGTATCTCGTGGCTCATCTGGTCGACCTTCAGTCCTTCCGCCAAGTGGCAGCGCCAGGACCTGCTCTTCCAGATCTGCTATGGGATGTATGGCTTCATGGACATTGTCTGTATAGGTGGGTGAACGCATTTCTCCGGCGCGGGGATGCGCCCCGCCGGCTCCCTCCGCCGACAGCGAGCATCGCTGCTATCGGATTCACCCTGCCCCTTTCCTTAGTCGTGCCCCCTGTGCAGACGTAGCCCAAATCTGCAGATCCCATCCACCCAGAGGCGTTTTACGTTGGCCGGGGAGGTATGAGAGTGCAAGCCTGAGTGCACACGCGGAGAGGCTACGGGCTGCGCGGTGAAACGGCGTCCGCTATAGCACCTCACTTTTCAGCTGTGCAAAGAAGTGATGAGAATTGAGTGGCTTAAGCAAATTAGCACTGAGAGAGGGGGGGGCAGCTTGTCTTCACCCCCAGATGCTTGTCATGTCCCTTGGCTTAGTGGGGCCCACAGTTGGCTTCGCTGGGGCTCTTTTGGCAACACACAGTGAGCCACCTGATACCCACATAAAGGGACATGAAAACAGGGCAGAGCCCAAGCCAGGGACACGTCGTGCAAAGATGAGAGCACTGTGCATGCAAGGTCTGGGCCTTGCAGCTGGGACCCCAATCGCCTGTGTGTTGCCAGCTGTAGTGGGGACCTTGCTTCCCAGGGAAGGGTGCAGCCCTGGCCTGTGTGCTCGCAGAGGGAGGAACCGGCTCATGTGGCCGCTGGAGATCCTCCACGATCCATCCCATCAGCAGTTTAGCGTCCGTGTCGTGTGGTACCGCAGGTCTAATTAGCACGGTGGATGTGCCCCTGCTCCCCTGCAAACACCCCTGGAGCAGTCTGCTACGGCTCAGCCTTTGCCTTGAGCCCTGCGATCACCCCGATTGCAGTGCCAGGCTCGACCTTGACTCCCGCCTTCCTCCTGGTCCCATGCCGGGCTTTCCCCTACCCAAAAACCTGCTCCAGCGATAGCTCCAGATTGCCCCTGCCCATACGATGGGGAGAATGGGGGTTTCTGTGGGGCAGGAAAGCAGGCAAAGAGGCATGAACTCTGGAGAGCAACCGGACAGGGCAAGGGCAGTCTGCAAAGGAAAAAGCCCGTGAATCCCAAGACTTCTGGCTTGGGGGTGGGAGGGAAGCTGAGGTCCAGTGAGAGAGGGATGGCGAGTCTGAGTCACGACTTGTTCCACCCACGGGGACCTGAACGGTGACCGTGCCGTGAGCCGGCCACGCAGGGCAAAGAGGGGCCAGGCAGATGGAGGCACCTGGGCAAGGGCCAGGGAGGGGAGAGAGCTGGAGGTCACTGGCAGGTGAGCAGGAGCTAATTAGGTAACAGTGAGATGCCCCAAAGGGCACGTGATGGCGGAGACAGAAAGGGAGATTCACGTAGCAAAGCCACCAGACGAGACATTGCAGTATCACTGGATAGAAATGGCCACGGTCCGACCCAGCCCCATCGTGGGGGAGCCGCTATTGCAGCAGCTCCAGAGCTCCCCGGTTTGCCCCGGGGAGTAGCTGGGGTGCACACGTGGCTGCAAATCCCTCCGTCTGCACAGCCCCATGCTTGCAAGCGCCTGCAGCGTGAGAGGATCGTGGCCTCCAGGGCGAGGCTGCGTCTCCGGGTTGTTCCCGCGGCTGCCGACCATGCGCTCCACTTCCCACTGGGGCTTTTCGGTCCTCGGAGGCAGCGATTCTTGGAAGAGGGTGAGCCCAGAGTGGCTGGTGAGCCTCAGCAAATGCGTGAAGACCCAGAGATCCTAACGGGGTCACGCTCGCCACACGGCATCAACTCAGCATCCCCCTGCCCTCTTGGAGGCCTGTCGTCCCCCGACCACAGCGTCACCACCTTCCCGAAGCGGGAGGGAAGCCAGGGCAGGATGAGATGGCACCTTACCAAGACCAAAAGCACCATCAGCTATTTCGGTCACGTGGATGGACGGATCCTGCAGCGGCTTGAGGCCCCAGCATCAAAGCCCAGCCCGCTGGTTCGGTACCCACGCAGAGAGAAGGGCATTGCCGCTTGGCTCATCGATGCGGGAGTCTTTCCTGGATGGTCTCTCGTGCAAGTATCGACCCTGCTCTCAGCTACCGACGTGGCGAACTGCCAGCAGCCCCTGCGTATGAGAGGGGATTAGCTGCTGCTATTCTTGTCCCTGTCTGGTAAGGGAATCCGTCAAGGGCAGGGCACGGCCAAGGAGGCAGGGACCATCACATCCTTATCAAGCCCACATCACTTCACAAGCAAGGGGGGGTTTGTCTACACTGCAGACATCAGGGCAGGGGTGTCCCAGGGAGCCTCGCTCAGGGCCTTTGCACCCGGGGAACGCATGAAGGGGACGGGGCGGACGGGCAGGGAGAGGCGGAGGGCGATTTCCAGCAGACAGGGCCCTCGAGAGGCATGCACGCACATAGGGAGAGTGAAACAGGAGCTGGATGAAGCATGGCAGGGACCGCAGCAGCTTGGAAACTGGCTGCGAATCCTAAACGAAAGGGCGCGTCGGGATTAGCCGTGCCCCTCTCCCTCATCATGGCACAACCGGGCATTGAAGTGTCTCCGGGGGTCACGCGGGCACCTCTTGAATGACGAGGAGCTAATGAAAGAGCAGCAGGGCCCAGGGCAGAAAATCCCCAGAGGGGAGCTGCATTTTGGGAGGCTGATTAGCGAATCAGGCGAGCTTCCCTTTAATGAGGCTGCTGGGGGCTGGTCCTGGATTTAGCATCGGCAGAGAGGGGCACTCACAGGGCTGCAAGCCCCATATAAGCATCCATCAGATCCCCACACTTCATTTCATCCCAGCCGGCATTGCTGCCCGCGCCTCGCTCCTACAAGCGCCGGATCCTCTGTCGTTTGAAGCTCTCCCACCTTCCCTCGGCGGTCCGGCCCTGAGTGGATTTGCCTTCACAACAGCAAGCTCTCTGCAGCTCAACAGCACGCCAGACGAGCAAAGCAAGGCCATTCATCCTGCCGCCGATCCCCGCTGGCATGCCATAGCAATCCATTACGAGCCAGGAAGTGTGTGCCCGCTGTTTTTAATCCCAGCTGCCAGCCAAAATAATCACAGGCATCCAGTACGTCTGACGGCATCTGTGCGCCACCGTCGGTAATAACATCAGAAATCAATAGCCAATTAAAACTGATCCGCCGCGCTTGATCTTTCATAGCGCGATGGGAATGGTAATTAATGAAGCTTCGTGGAGACCGTCACAATTCAGGCTTCCTGTCAGGGCTAATGTGGTTTCATTGTAAGCGAGCTCAAAGGAAGCGCAGGGCCGGCGCGGGCTGCGCTCACTTCCGCTCGCATCCTCGAAGGGGTTTAGGTGCCTCGCTCCCCCGCAAATCAGCGATGCACCTCGGCGGCTCGCCTCTACCCCCTCTGCACATCACACCGGGCTCATTGCAAGCAAAGCCAGCCGAGCCATCATGAGAACGATTTCAGGGGCGACAGCGAACGCGAGCGTGTGCGGTCTCCACAACACAGCCTCCCCGAGCCTGGTCTGTTCGGTGCAAGTCTGGGTCTCGTCTACAAGTCTGTAGGCGAGCTGCACGCTGGGAAGGCCCCAGTGCCTCTATATCCACCTTTGAGCCTTTGGCAGGCTGGAAAACAGGCCCCCAAAAGGGCCCGGAGAAGCCACCCTGGGTCTGAAGCAGTTCTGGGGACTCAGGTGGCCAAGCCGCGATGCTCTCGGTCCTTACTGGAGCGGTACAGAGACGCCTGGATGTGTTATGCTGCCTTGCAAGTCCCAGGACCAGAGATGTCCAGAGAGGGATCTGCCAGCGAATAGCTGCAAAATGAAGCCATCAGGCAAAGGGAGACCGCTCTGTTTGCATTTCCTCTGTTCCTTCATCTGAAATAATGTCTGCACTGAGACATCTCTGAAAACCAGCTGTGGGGAAGGGGGACAGAGCCTGCCTGTAGCTGTGACCCCTGTCCTGTCCCAAGGGACGGTCCCCAGGCTACACAGCTGGCTCGGATCTTGCATGGCCCTCACGGACAAATGGACAGGGCCTGGCATCTCCGAGCGGGTCAGGCAGCTAGAGAGGAGGAGAGGAGTTTTCGGTTGTGGGCAAGGCTGTGACCCCTGCTTGTGGCATGCCCAGGCTGTGTGTGTGTCATTGCAATGGCCTGCGGTAATTCAATAGTGCCATTCGTCTCGGTGCTGGTGCCAGACTCCATAGCTCGGTTTTATCACGGCTAACGCTTGGTGGTCTCTGCTTCTACGGGTCACCGTGTTGGTATTTACTGAGGACAAAAGAATTAGCGTTCCCTGAAAACGTCCAGCTGGATTCAGTGCAGGCTGCACTTTCGAGGAAGATGGAGAAAAAAAATAAGTGCTGCACTGACATAAATGGTCCTGTGTGACTGTGCATCGCTGCCATGCATGGGCAGAGTCCTAAACACTTGTCTGTGTGTCATAGGTCCTATATTGTGAATGGAGATTCGTTCCCCTTCAGCACACTGTGCCTTCTTTGTATGTGATGTTAGGCTGCAAATAGCAAGACCTGGTGATGATCTGTTAGGACATCCACCCTGGGAACCTGAGCTACGCCAGGCTGCTTTGCCCAGCCGAGTCCTGCCCAGCTGATTTTGCTGTTACAACCTCTGTCCTTGTGTCCAGTGCAAACCTTTTCTGGTGAACACACGTTACGATAGGCCTGGGCGTCCCTCCTTTGGGTTTCTACCAGGTGTGGAGCTGGATTCTGGCTTATCCAAAGGGGCTTGAACTAGTCACTGTGGCCACCAGGATAGAGACTAAGAGGTGATTTGGCTCTCCTAGGAGAACCCAGGCCAGGACAGCCTACTTCCCTGCAGCGACAGACCTCTCATTGAAACACAATATAGTCCCCGCCGTGGCGGGCCAGCTGCTGTATAGTCCCACGCATGCGGTAAAAGCTTCTGCACTGAGAGCAGGACAGGAAGTCTGCTGTTCTGATGGTTTTGGCACGTGGTGATTTGCTTTCCAAATGTCAGCCGTGCCTGCATGGCACCTATTATTTGTGCAATAAGATGCTTTGGGCGGGAGTGATTTTGATGGGCTGAAAGGTGAGGGGTGGGGTCTAAAAAGCAAGTCTGGGAGGCCAGAG